GTTGCATGTGGCTTACTCTGGATATATCCAAGCCCTTCTGCACATCTAAACTTAGATGGAGTTGGTCAAATGCGGGAACATCTGGGTTATGCCTTTTTTAAAAGTAGTTTTAGGAACCGTCAGCATGTTGTTGTTGAAGTGTGGAGTTGTAACTCTGCGTGGACTGTGGACAGTCAACAATATGTACTTAAAAGTTGCACTATTGCAAAACGGGTGTTTTATCCAGGTACTCGTACACTATTTTTTTGTACTGCTGGTATTGTACCAGAAACATTTTCTTTTATTGTTACTTGCTTTTTAAACTTTGTTTAGCCACTTAAAGAAAATCTGCTTATGGCACAATTTGCCTCAAATCCATTCCAAGTTGTATATTTGTTTTCCAATAAAAAAAATTACAATTTACCCAATTGTTGCTCTGAATCTGAGTGATTTTATATTGGTGTAATAATTTTGGGACAGCTGTTTGTGGAATTATTTTCTCCCTGGTGTAATTCACCTGTAGTCTTTTGATATGGACTCTTACTTAGCAACTTCCTGTCTGGTGTGGTGGTCCACTCTTAATCCCAGCTCTAGGTTCAGTGGCCAATCTATTCTACATGGCAAGTCCCAGGCCATCCCAGACTCCAGTGAGACTGTTTCCAAGAAGAAAAAAAACCTTTCATAAATGAACCTTTTATAAGGAATTGGCACACACACACACATTTAGTGTTTACCATCTTTTTTTATTTAAAAAATTTGGATTTATGTGTGTTTTGCTTGTATGTATACCATGTGGGCCTAGTGCCCTCAGCAGTCAGGTGACAGCACTAGACCCCCAGAACTGGAGTCACTCTTGGTTGTACACCACCTAGGTCCTCTGCAAGAGCAGCAAGCACTCTTAACTCCTGAACCAACTTTTCAGCCTTGCTTCCTGCCTTTTAAATAGTTGCAACTTTGTTAGTAGCTAGAAGGGGGATACTATGATTTACCTTTGTGTTTTAGTTTATCAGTGTGCTCTTTTAACTGGAGAGAAATTTTAGCTGTGCTTGCTTATCTGCTTGCAACATGTTATACCAAAAAGATAAGCAGTTAACTAAGCCTTGTTTGAGACTTTGCTTCTCCCATTGCTTTCTCTGTAAAGTTCAGGACATGGTTATCAAAGTTTTTCTTGTTCTAACTGCCTTTTAAATACTTAATTCCATAGCAAACCAGAGCAAAGACTGAAACAGTATAGTTATTGCCTGCTATTTGTGGCCCACAAGTTTTGGGACTGCCCCAGATGGTGGGGGCAGCTCATTACACAATAGGGTACTACCTCATGCTACAGAGAGGGAGAGGGAGGGAAGTTAGACACACTGTTGATTGCTGGTCCTATTCCTCAGGGGAGAGCCTTGTAGAAAAAGGTGTCCGATTCTGAGGCCCTTCCATTGGGTGGTAGCTTAAAGGCTCAAGCATCGTTTCTGCCTGGAACATTCTTTGTGAGGTATTAAATGGCTTTCACATTTTGTTGCAGTCCGATTAACACCCTGATTGATGTTCAGGTCTGTAGTCCGAGCTCCAGTTAACTTATCTGTAGGATGCCCTCATGGTTTCTAACCATTGGAAAGTATTCAATGAAATAGTGACTCCCAGTATAGTCTCTGGCCTTAGGCTGAAGTACTTAGCCAATGTTGCCATGTTAAACACAGGTGTTGCTGAAAAATGGGAACAGGCGATTAATTGTAGTATTTCTCCAGAGTCTGGAAGGTCAAATTAATACCAAGATACAGATAACCAAGAATAAGGTTAAAGGGAGAGTAGTGTGTGTGTGTGTGTGTGTGTGTGTGTGTGTGTGTGCTGGCTGGACTCAAAGTTGGCAGTAACCCTGCCCATTCTGAAATTACAGGTATGTGCTACCATATCTGGTGTACTATATAAGCAATCATATCTGAACCCACGGCTATGATTTTAAACCATCTTCAAGTCTCTACCATGTTAAGTAGTTTTAGTTTAACAGGATTATGGTAGTAATTCTTTAGTTCTGTTTGTAGTGTGTTTGCTCTCAGGTTTCTGCCAGTAAAGCACTTAGGGAAGAAAGAATTGTGAGTGTATAAGTCCCAGGAGGTATCAGGCCATGTGGGTGCTGGGAACTGAACCTGGTCATCTGCAAGAACTGCTCCTAACAGCTGAGCTCGCTCAGGTTTGGGAAATCACTTTTGTGACAGGATGTTGTGTTTAACCATTTATGGTGGTGATTTTTCAATTTGACATTCTTAAATTCACTGAATGGCAGTTTTTAGTAAAAGGATTTTTTTTACAGCTGTCACTGGAGGCTAATTTAAGTTGGAGTAGTCTAACTTGAAAGGAAACTGGTTGAATTGGATATTGTTGCTAAGAATAACAACCCTGAGCTTTCTATATTTCTAGGTATATTTTTAATTGTTTATACATTTTAGGTTTTTTAAAGTTACTGTCAAAGCAGTCTGATGTATTTGGCATAACTTAGAGTCATTCTGTAGCCTTCAGAGTTGAAGTATCCTTGGAAAGAAATGTTTTCCCAAGAAATTTTAGGAAAAGAGCAGTTTTGGAGGTCTCATGGATAACAGGCATTATTGAGCACTGAACATCTTGTGGTTCTGTCTTAAAAAGAACTCAGGATCTTAACAATGGTGGTAGCTTTGGTTGTGGGCTTTTTTTTTTTTTTTTTTTTTTTTCCTTTTCTCTTCAGACTTCCTCATATACTCCAGGCCTCTGAACTCTGACTCGTCCAACTTCCCCTTGAAGTTCTAACTCTCCTCTCTCCACCTCCCAAACACTAGGATGCCCCCCCATACTGCAGCTACTTGGTGCTGGAAGTAGCTGCAGGCTGGCACATTCTAGCCAAGTTCTCTGCAAGTGAACTTTGGCCCAACCCCTGTGATGTCTCCTTAGCTGTGTTGTTTGTTTTATGGGTAAAAGTCCTTGAGGAAAACCTCTCTTTCATCTGAATGTCCCCCTCTTTCTACTCTCACGCCTCGTGTGGGTTTCTGGACCTCTCTGTACCTTCATATTCAATCTCTAGGGTCTGAGTCCCTAGTCTACTGAGCTAGTTTTACCTCAGCCGAAATAAGAAAGTGAAATGAACACGGAGTGGACTTGATTAACCTGTTACATTTGAGAACTTACATTTATTTCCATCTTAACCATGTGATTTCCACTCATTTTAAACTTGGTTCATGGTACTTAAAAAAAAAAAAAAATAGTACATCGAGGCCAAGTGTGAATGTCTATAACCTTGGCACTTGGAGAAGCGGAGGCCTGGGCTGCAGGAGACTGAAGAAAAGAATCCAGGATTGTGGAGAAATTAGACGAAATCTTAATCTCCCCCAAGTTACCAGCAGAGTTCTGGAGGAGCTGAAGCCTGCCTGCTGTGCAGCAAGTAAAACACTGGCCATATGAGCCTGCCAAACTAGATTCCAGAACACACATGGATGCCATAAAGGTGTCCTCACATGTGTGCCTTGGACACAATTGTCTCCTCTACACACACACACACACACACACACACACACACACACACACACAGCAAATCTTAAAACTGGCTGAGTTTTTCTTAGTTTCTGTCCTGGAATTGAAATCAGTTTTCATTTTAAAATCACAAGGTGTTTCAGGAACATTTTTTAAAAAAATATGTATATGGGTGTTTCACCTCCATGTTTGTATACTACGACTGGTGCCCAGGGAGGCCATATCCCCTAAAACTGGAGGTAGAAATCATAGTGAGCCACCTTGTAGGTGCTGGGAATTGAACTCAGGTCCTCTGGAAAAGCAGCCAGCATTCAACCACTGAGCCATCTCTCCCCACCATTAAGATCAATTGGTATCTAGATACAACTGCTTTTGTAGATAAATTCCTCTTGTGTTCCGATTTTGTTTTTATCGAATTCTCTGTGTGTGCATGTGTAGCCTGGCATTTAAGCAACTTTCTAGTCAGTTCTCTGCTCCCCTTGTGTGTCCCAGGGATATCAAACTGAGATGGTCAGTCTGGGAGCCCCTCTGAGAGCCATCCTGGTCCTGAGAATATTTTGTAGATCAGTTTGTGTGTTTTGTGTGCATCTATGTATGTGTGTGCCTGGTGCCTGCACAGTTAAGAGGGCATCGATGTACTGGAATTGAAGTCACAGGATGGTTGTGAACTACCACATGGGTGTTTGGAACCGAACTCGGGTCCTCTGGAAAAGCAGCCAATGCTCTTAGCTGTGGAGCCGTGTCTTCAAGACCGCAGGTGATTTTTAAGAGACAAACAATGGAGGTCCACCCAACTTTTGAAAATTGATGGTGGGAAACAGAAACCTCAAGCTGTTGAAGGTAGTGGATCGGGTTTTGAAAACTTCGGCGTCAGCGTGATGATGTTACTGTCTAAAGAAGCTGCCATTCTCCAGATGGAGCTAATTAACACCAGCTTTGCAGCATTGCTGTGAGGGTTACCTGAAATATAATATATGGGAAGTCCTTGGAACACAGTAGGTCCTCCAGCAAAGGAATTAAGGTTGAAAATCGCCTTTTTAAAAAATAATCTTTTTAGGTTGAGAAGCTACAGCCAAGAGTGGCCCAGAAGGCCAAGGGCCTATGGAAGAGATGGGTGACCTGCTCATACAGCTGGTGTTCAGGATGGCCCCACCCTACCCCGGAAGTGGATGTCAAGGAAGAACTCCGCCTTAAAGCTAAATGCACCTACCAGTTTCCCTTTCCAGGATGTGATTTGCAAGGGAATGGTAGAAGTTGTGGGTCCATCAAGGTGTGGGCAAGCCTGCCTATGCACACACACATACCCATGAACTCGGGCGACTTCATAGTCCCTGTACTATGACACACACGTGGCCGTCTCTAAGGATGTCCACGGAGTCAGCTTCGCAGGAGCCAGCACAGTGCATCACTTCCCTGTCCCCAACAGTGGAGGTGGAGTGGCCTGCAGGACTCTGCACTGGTCTTTCACACGCGCAGACTCAGAATCGGCGGGTGGCTGGGGCTCCTAGCAACCGGGGCCTGGGGAGAGGGAGGAGGTCGCAATGGACAAGCCAGCCACCGCCGCCATCAACCCCTCCGCAGTACCGAGAGAAGACCTAGGAGATTCGCTCATCCCGACCTCGGTAGGGTAGCCTGCCCCTTGCGCCCCCCACCCCCCCCCGCAGCCTCATCTCCCGGAGTCCCGGTGCTTTTTCAGCATCCCTACTCACAGGCCTGTTCCGCTGCTTATCGTGCGCACACCTGATTTTCTTCCTTTGATTATGAATTGATGTCTTTCTCTTTTAAACTGCTGCCTTCTTCACCTTCTCTCCCCATCCTTTTTCATTTTTTAAATTTCCTCTACAACTACTTGCTTCAGTAAAGCGATTAGATTTTCTGCCCTTTCTGTTAAAAGAATGAACTGTTCGCAGTTCTACCAGTAGTGCTCTGCCCTGCTTCCTATTTGAGTACTTTAAAAAAATAAATGTGGGTGAGGGTGTTTATCTTCTCTTTTAAAGTGAATTTAAGATGATAGACGGTCAGAATATAGATCACTTGCCTGAGCCAGCCGGACAGTTCCTTTCTCCTAGACTAGTTCTATTTCTCTCTCTCTCTCTCTCTCTCTCTCTCTCTCTCTCTCTCTCTCTCTCTCTCTCTCACACACACACACACACACACACACACCACTTCTCTGCTTTGAACAGAGATGTGGGAAACCTGTTTGACCCTCCTGAGAACTTATTGTGACTGCAAAATGAGCAGCTGATAAATCAACGGGAATTCAATAAAAGAGCATGCTGGATGGAGAGAGGTTGACAAGCATGTGTAGTGGGGCACATCAAACATGGGGATTCAGATGTATAGAATGGCATATCAGACCACAAGAACTCTTGGCTTTTAGACAAATGTGCAAGTTTCATAGTAGCACTATAGAATTTGTGGAGTTTCGATTAGAAGAGAGTGGATTATACCCATTATGTTTGCCAATTATTTTTTAGTTCATTCTTGCTTGAGATAACTCTATTTCATAATGAGTGCTATAAACAGGAGGTGGAGTTTGGTTTCTTAATGATTTGCAATAGCACAAAAGGAAAAACTTAAACAGCTGGATCTATGGATCTCAGGGCTGAAGCAAATGCAGACTCATCCTAAATGCATGTAGAGTGAATGCTTGCTGCGGAGACAACCCCACTGGAAACTGAGGCATGCCCAAACCATCTGTTTCTTAACTTGGCAGATGAGATGCCAAGTCATTTATCAGTGACTTGATAAATATGGTTGTGGGTGTGTGTCTTCCTCTCCTGCCCCCCCCCCCTTCTCTGGAGACAGGATCTCACTATGTAGCCCCCTGGCTGGCCTCAAACTCGCAGGGATCCACCTTCCTCTGTCTCCCTGGTTAAAGGTGTGCACCACCACCCCTCCACGTCCAGCCAGTGCATATTATATTTCTGTGAGAAAGTATAATACATGAGGATTGGTTGAATAACTTTCCCACATGCATTAATTTAGCTACTGGGCAAAGGAACTATGGTCTGACATCAAAGTTTGTCATATCTGTTGTTCTTTGAACATCTCTGTGAGATAGGGATGCTTATTTTAATTTCACCAAAGGGATTTTTGATACTTAAAATCACTTAATAGCTTAACACTTTAAGGAAATAATAGTATGGGCAAGACATATCATCATGTATCCTTCATTTTCATGCTAGCTAATTGGTTTGGTAGAGGCACTTTAGTTTCTTCAAGTAAATATTTTATACGTCATATGTAATTTCAAGAGATCACCTTCTAAACAAATAAGCAGATTTTGTGTTTGCTCATAGAAACAGATCCGGAAGAGTTCAGCTCTTGATAGAGAAGGATGGTGGAGGGTAACATTAACGGTGTGTATATTTCCACTCCTTCCCATTTACATTCTTTTCGTTCCCGTTAAGGTTTTAAACAGTCTTCGCTTTTAAGTCGGCAACACTTAACTGTGAGAAAACAGTTTGTTCAGATCTACACAGGTTACATTTCCCACTTGTAATTTTAGGATTAGCATATGAAAGAGAAATGAGCTTTAAGTGTGGGACAGAGTGAGGGCTTAGAACCAGGGTTCTGGGCTCTTTACTGGGCCAACCACGATCGATCTTACGGTCTGTCACATCCATTGTGGAAAGGGATTTGGCTTGATGGCAGAGAAGCCAGTTTGTTAACATGGAGTTTTAGTCAGGGTTTCCCATTGCTGTAATGAGACACCATGACCAAAGCAACTTGGGGAGGAAGGGTTTATTCAGCTTACATTTCCAGGAAGTCAGGACAAGAACTCAAGCAGGGCAAGAACCTGGAGGCAGGAACTGATGCAAAAGCCATGGAGGGGCGCTTCTTACTGGATTGCTGCTATGGCTTGCTCAACCTGCTTTCTTATAGAATCCAAGACCCCCTGCCCAGGGATGGCACCACCCACAATGCCCCCCCCCAGTCACTAATTAAAAAAATGCCTGACAGCTGGATCTTAAGGAGGCATTTTTTCTGTTGAGGGTCCCTGCTTTCAGCTAACTCAAGGCTGTATCAAGTAGACTTGAGACCAGCCAGCACAGGTGGTCAGTGCATATGAAGGACATAAAAAAAGCTGGTAGCAAAGGAAAGAATGTCGAGTTCACTTTCTCAAGGGGCAATTTCTGTGTTATAGGTGCTTTCTATCAAAATGCTTCAAAAATAGAGCAAATTCCAATTGAATTAATTTTAACAAAAGAAATGGGATGAGCTAGGAAGATGTTGATAGAGCAGCAGGATCTGAAACCTCAGATCCAGCCAGGTAGGCATATTGTAGTCACAATTTGAAGTACCACACCTCTTCTTAGCCTGTAGACCATGTGCTGTACCAGGCCATCCTCATTTCCAGCTTGCATTACATTTTACCTCACTCTCAAAGCGCCTTAGAAACAGCATACCCACATTTAAAATAAAATAAAGTAAATAAAATAAAAATAATTTTTAAAAAATAGGTAGAAGAGGCTGGAGAGATGGCTCAGCGGTTAAGAGCACCGGCTGTTCTTCCAGAGGACCTGGGTTCAATTCCCAGCACCTACATGGCAGTTGGAAACTGTAACTCCAGTTTCAGGGAGAGCCAACACCCCCACACAGACATTAATGCGGACAAAACATCAATGCACAATAAATAAGCAAATAAATCTTAAAAGACTCGTACCTGCTTTTAGGGGAGATTTTAGCTACCCACCAAAGTACTTTGCACTCAGTGGCCTGCAGCCTATGGTCAAAGAATGGCAATTGTGCCTTTGTCATCTTTCAACAAATTACCTTCAAGGCTAGTAAGAAGGCTCAGCAGATAATGGTGCCTGCCACTAAGGCTGATGACCCGAGTTCAATCCTCAGCCTCTGTGTGGACACTGTGGTACATGCTAGCCCTCATGCCACATACACAAAACAAATATGTAAAAGTAGATAGGGTCTCACCCTATATACCTAGCTGGCCTGGAACTCATTATGTAGACCAGGCTTGTCTTGAACATGCAGAGTTCTGAGATTTAAAGGCCACCTGTAATATAGTTTAAAGGTAGCTTTTAGATGTTATCCTTTGTACAATGTTCAGCAGTTGCTTCAGAATGGAAACAATCACAACGCTTTTGAAACTCTTCTGTCAAGAGTGTTTGTGGGTGGGAGTAGTTAGAGAGATGGCTCAGCAGTTAAGAGCACTAGCTGCTCTTTCAGAGGACCTGAGTTCAATCCCCAGCACCCACATGGCAGCTCACCATTGTTTAACTTCAGTTCCAAGGGATTCAGCATGCTGCACAATGTGGCAAAACATGATTAGGAATAAAATGAAAGTAAACCTTTAAAAAAAAAATGTCTGGTAGGGGCTGGAGAGATGGTGCATCAGTTAAGAGCACAGGCTGCTTTTGCAGAGGACTGGGTCCCCATTGTCTATAACTCCAGTTCTGGGGGATCCAACATCCCTTTCTGACTTCTGTGGGCACCAGGCACACATGTGGTCCACATACAAACATGCAAGTAAAATGCTGATGCACGCCTTTAATTTAGCACTTTGGAGGCAGAGGCAGACGGACTTCTATGAATTTAAGGCCAGTCAGGACTACATAATGAGATCCTGTCTCAAAAACGAAATTAAAACAAACAAAACACTGAATCACATAAAATAGAGTATTTGTTAAAAATCAATAAAATTTTTTCTTGAATTTAGAGACAAAAGCCACATAGAAATGGTGGTACTTTTGGGGAAGTCACAGGTCTGCGCAGTGATCTTACAACCAATGTCAATTTCCCACAGAATACTCCAATACCTGGCACTTACCACATAAAGACTTTTATTGAAGAGTCCCTGTTAAATCCAGTGAAAGCAACCTACAATTTTAAAAACGAAGGGAGGAAAAAGATACCTCTTGTGCAGAGAAATGATCCAATCCCAACCGACCTCCCTCAGTACAAGCCTCCCGACTTCCTGGAGCTGTTGAAGAAGCAGATGGCCTCCTACTCATTCAAAGACCAGCCCCGGCCCAACCCCAGCACACTAGTTGACAAAGATGAGGTAAGGTGCTACTATCAGATGGTGTTCCGTGAGAAAAGTTCTCGAAGTGTACACTGGGGGAAAGGGTGCTCTAGACGCAGAGAATAAACCCTACCCCCAAGGAAAACCCCTCGGATATCTCATTCCCTATAGAACAAGGCAGAAAATGGCTCAGCAGTCTCTGAACATGGGCTGTTCTTCCGGAGCACCCGAGTTCGGTTCCCAGCACCCATGTCAAGCAGCTCATAGCTGTCTGTAACTACAGTTCCAGGGACTCCAATGCCACTGGCCTCCTCAGGAATCTGTATATCTACATACCCCCTCCTCCCCACCCCACACACATAATTTAAAAACAGTAAAACCAAAGACATGTAGATATGGAACAGGACTTCATGGCTTGCAAATATGTCCAGTGAGATCTTTCCTGTGAGGTCTTAACCCAAGCAAAGGCGCGTCCTGGCAGGCCACCTCACTTGGGGACCCTGAAAATCGGGCCCCTTGAAGCAGCTGATGTGGTGGCTCCTCCTAAATGCAAGGTGCTGCCTCTTGAGGATCAGCCTCCTCAGAGAGTAAGCACAGCTTTTAAAACTCTTTCTTGGCTGGGGTGGAGCTCAGGGGCGGAGCCTGTGCTCAGCGCTCCCAGAGCCCCAGGCTTGCTTGAGCACCAGGACAGACAAGAAAAGTTTCTATTTTCTTCCAGAGATGAGTGAGTCTGTAGTCATGGAGGGTCCAGTTTCACTCTCAGCCCCACCAGTTCACTGATGGCCCTGATAAGGGAGCACTGCTGTGCTTTTGGGACTAGGCTGTGCCAGGGGGAAATGCTTCTGGCCGAGAATACTTCAGTAACAAGACCAGACACAATGCTCAAGGGCTGAGATAAAGGAGTGCAACAGGGACCAAGGCAGAGCTCAGGGTAGGCTGGATGGAAAGTGTCCAGTTAAGTAGGGTTTAGCTCATCCTTGATTGGTAAACGTGGTTTCTTATATGACTTTTTTGAGACAGGGTTTCTCTGTGTAGTTTTGGCTGTCCTGGAACTCCCTCTGTAGACCAGGCTGGCCTCTACAGAGATCCACCTGCCTCTGCCTCCACCACCCAAGTGCTGGGATTGAAGTGTGCACTGCCATCCGCCCAGCATGAGTTTGTTTTAAAAAAATTATAATTGTGTGTCTGTGTGTGGGTATGTGAGTGTGATTAGAGGCTTGAGGAGCTGGTTCCCTGGGAGCTGGAGTTACAGGCAGTTGTGAGCTGACTGACATGGGTACTAGGAACTGAGCTCAGGTACTCTTCAAGTGTCCTTAACCACTGAGCTGTCCCTCAAACCCTGTCATGTGGCTCAAGGCTTACTACAGGCTTCCTCGGACTCTGTTAGCTAAGAACCTTGAAGAAGACGGCTGGAGATGTTTCTGTTTCCCCTGCAAGAAAACCACTGTAGCTGGGCGGTGGAGCTGCACACTTTTAATCATAGCTCTTGGGAGGCAGAGACAGAGGCAGAGAGGCAGAGGCAGGCTGATCTCTATAAATTTGAAGCCAGCCCGGTTTACAGAGAGAGTTCCAGGACAGCCAGAACTGTATAGAGAAACCTTGTCTTGAAAACAAACAAACAAACAAACAAAAAAGAACTGAGTAACTCATCCAGGACACAGTAAAACTGAAGAACTCTTTCTTTCTTTCCTCTCTTCCTCCCTTCTTTCTTTCCTTCGTCCCTCCCTCCCTTCTACCCTTTCTTTCTTCCTTTCTTTCTTTCTTTCTTTCTTTCTTTCTTTCTTTCTTTCTTTCTTTCTTTCTTTTATAAAAAGGGGTTCTCTGTGTAGCCGTGGCTGTCCTGGAACTAGCTTTGTAGATCAGGCTGGCTTCAAACTCAGAGATCTGCCTGCCTCTGCCTCCTAAGTGCTGGGATTAAAGGCATGTGCCACCACTACCTGGCTCAAGGCAGCACTTTTTTTTTTTTTAAAGATTTTATTTATTTATTATGTACAAGGCAACATTTTTAACTGAGTGTTTTGACTATAAGTGCAGCCCTCTTTCTCGTCTACCATGGACTCTACCCACAGTGAGGAGGCAGGCAAGGTTTAGATAGCTGGACTCAGAGGATGCGCTTCCAGGCTTTTGCATGGCCTTTTTGAAGGGATGTGTGCTCTCTTCAAGGGATATTACTTGGACCTTCAGTCATTCTCAATTCTCTGTCTTAACGGAAAGAAGCTACCAACCCTCCTCAAGATGCATGGCTGATGGTTGAGCACAAGAGGTATATGGGTACAGTGGTGCATACCTGTAATTCCACACTGAGGCCAAGGCAGGAGAATCTCAAGTTTCATGACAGCTTGGGCTGCATAACACTCTGTCTTCTAATTAAATCCTGCAGAGTATTCTAATTAAATCCTGCGGCGTGCGGCGAATGCCCTTGATGCTAGGCAGAAGCAGGCAGATCTTTGAGGCCAGCCTGGTCTACATAGAGTGTTCCAGGAAAGCCAGGACGGCATGGAGAGTCCCTGTCTCAAAACAAAACAAAACAAACAAAACTCCTTTGTCTTCAAAAACAAAAATAAGCAAGGAAGAGTTGTGATTGCAAACTTTCACCCAGATATACACACACGTGCAACATGGAGTTGCTCAAACTTCACCCAGCTGTGCTGCCGACAGAACAGACTGGAAGGTTTCTTGGGTAAACCTGACTCTGTTTGCTTCAGTGAACAAATACAAAATCTGGGTTATACTTGGATTTACGGCTTGCTATCAGGTAACCAAGCTACAGGTGAAATCCTCCTGGCCACCTAACTCATTTTCTGTCATTTACTTGCACCTGCTTCCTGAGGACCAGCCAAAGGCTCACCATGGAAAAACCACACAGAACATTGTGCCGGGCACAACTAAAAACTTTAATTAAAAGACTCACAGCTTTAGCTTACCCAGAGGGCTGGACAAGCCTTCTGCAAACACGGTCTTCCTGTTTCTTTATTGTCTTTCCTCCCACAAAGGATTAAGTTCCAGAAGCTGGGAGTTCAATGTTTTCCCCTGTGAAGGTATCTGAGAATACACTCAGAAGGGAAACAGCAGGAAGACATGCCCTCTCCTCGCCTGTACAATTCTAATTCTGATGTTTCAATAGCCAACCTCAGTGAATAATTTGGATCAGGGCATTTGTTAAAATAGTATAGCATTCTCAGTTTTAATAGAGTATAGCTCCTCATAAAAGCGTGCTCTCTGTCCCTAGCCTGTTTTTCCCTGTGTTGCATGCAGTTAGCCGCTGGCCCACAGTCCCTCGCCTTATTTCTGAAAGAATTTGGCTTCCTTTACCCCTGTCCCTCCCTGCCACCCCCACAGTGATTCCAGTCCCCACAGAGACGACCTGTCAACAGCTGGCTTCTTGGTTTCTTCATCTCTCCTCTATCTCAGCCACTCACTTAGTCTTGTTTGTTTTTCAAGAGTCATAATTTCAACCCTCCATAGTGCCATGTCATTAGGTGGCTTCTCTGGCCAGCATGTAGCAGCCCTGCCCCCATTCCACCTGGACTCACCAAGTTTTCCACTTTTTACTGCTCTCATCCCTCTCGTGTTTGTCACAATGCCCTTTCCCCAAGTCCACCCAAGTCCACTGTCATCATCTCTCACTTGTTTGGCAAAGCCACACCTTGGTTCAGCCTAACTGTATGTCTGGTAGCTGTGTCCATGTTCTTTTTTTTTTTTTTTAATATGTATTTACTTTTATTTTTATGTGCATTGCTGTTTTGTCTACATTACATCTTTGAATCCCCTGAAACCAGAATTATAGAGAATTGTAAGTTGCCCTGAAACAGGAACTATAGACAGTTGTGAGCTGCGCTGTAGGTGCTGGGAATTGAACCTGGGTCCTCTGGAAGTGCAGTCAGGGCTCTTAACCTCTGAGCCCTGTCTCCAGCCCCTGTGCTAATGATCTTAAGGGACTATCTCATCTTAAGGCCTTCACGGCCGGCCACAGAGCAGCAAACAGGCTTCTTAGTTTGCTTGCATTCTCACCCCTGTGTGGCCCTAGCTCTCATCCTTTCTCTGACACTTCTTTCCAGCCCTCAGTCTTGGTTTTTCTTCTCAGCCTCTCCTCGCCGTTTCTGCTCCCCTGTCCCAGCCTGTTCCTCTTGGAGTGCCCAGGAATTCGCGCTCTTCCCTGTCTGCCCTGTCCCCCTGGACAGTGTGCTCAGTCAGTCTCCAGGCAGTAAACACCACTTATTTGTCAGTGATTGCCAGAATTCATGTCTCCAGCCTAGATGGCTCCTTGAGTCCCGCTGCCTTCTTGATCTCGTATACTTGGATGGTGAATGTAAGGTTTCTCAACCCCAGTACTCCTGATGTTTTGGGTAAGTCTTCACGCTGCAGGGCTGTTCTGCAGTTGTCACTGGCCTCTACACATTAGATGTCATTAATACTCTTTCCTCCCCGTTTTAATAGCCAAAACCATCACTAAACATTGCCAAGTGTCCCTGGTGGACAGCAGTGCTCTGGCTCCTGACCCTGGGTAACGGCATTGTGATGTGTGTGGCCTCTAGACACTTTTTCTCAGGGTTAACAGGCCTGTTGGGAGCGGAGTTGCTTGCTCAATATCTTCCTTAGCAAATTCATTCTGGACCCATAGGAATGCTCCTGCCATCCCTTTCCACAGCCCTGCTGCTGTGTTTCGAGGCTCCACTGGATTGCTTTTCCAGTTCTCCTGGTCTTTTGGTGGCGCTCCTCGATTTTTCTGTGACTATATGTTGCTCCTTGCTCTGCACAATGTAGTTTTGTGAACTCCCCGAGGCCTGGACCGTTTCCTTCTAGAGAAGAGTCACCTTTTCCTTCATGACTTGGAGGCAGCTGTTGGGCTGGCCCCTGCTGAGAGGCCACCGCTTTGGCGATGGCTTACTCTTATAATGCAGACCTTGATGGGATGCAATGCCAGGAGCTAGCCCAGGGTTATATTCCCTCAAGGGCAAGGGCTCTTTCCCTTTCTGATTCTGCTTGACATCCTGCAGTCCATTAGCACTGGGGTTAGGTGGGAGGGGCTGACTCTCAGG